AAGATATAATTATATGTGTGTGTGTGTATATATGTGTGTGTGTTGGTAAATATTCTTTAGGCACTCATACTATGAAATAATATATGATTATATAGAGAGGGTTATATAAAGGACAATAACTTAGTAACACTATAAACTAAGATAATCTTCAAGCCCTAATTCTATAAACTAATATATGATTATATAAAAGGAAATAAGTGAGTAGTAATACTATAAACTGAGATATTCTTCAGATCTTAATTGTGCCAGAATTCTGCTTAGCTTTCCTTCCTCGGTGCCTATATGGGGGGTTACTCACAAATCACTATTTATGTATAACTATGTAACTTTTAGTTTTTATTTTGCATGTTTTGAAGAGAGGTGAAGCTAAGTATTTTTCTAATTTAAAACTTCAAATACAGAAATATATTTACTGTAATCATTCAAACAATTCTGATATATAATAAAGTATCTTACCTTGCCATCCCCCACCTCTGTTCTTATCTACTTCCCCCTCCACAAAGATTTTCTACGTATCCTAAGTTTTTCTGATAGACTGTTAAACCACCTCTGTACATGTTTTAAATTTATCACTTAATCATACATGATAGACAGCTTAATGTCTGTATACATATATCCCTCATTTGCTGCATAATATTCTTCACTAGGCCATAGTTTATGTAACTTTCACTTTTGATGAACATTTATTTTGCTTCTCATTTGTTACTGCAACAAACACTGCCAAAAGAAGCTTATATATATTTTTGTGCACAGGTACTGGTTTCCAGAGGTCGTATCGAATTACTACAAACTTGATGCTTCAAAACAACAGACATTTACTCTCTCACAGTTCTGGAGTCCAGAGTCCAAAGTCAAGGTCTTGGCAGTGCAGCTTTTCTGGATACCCTGAGGGAGGGTCTGATTTGATTTGTTATTCCCTCCTAGTTTCTGATAGCTGTGGGATCCTCGGCATTCCTTAGCTTGATGAATCTCTCTAATTCCTGACTCTTTCTTCATCTAGTCTTTCCCCTCTGTGTCTCAAATCTCTCTCTCCTTTCACTCATGGTGCACCAGTCACTGAATTTCGGGCTTACCCTAAATCCAGTATGATCTCATCTCAGGATCCTTAACCTAATTACCTCTGCAAAGACTTCCAAATCAGGTCAAATTCTGAGGTTCTGAGCTTTATCGGGCCACTATTCAACCCATTACAGCATACATGAGAATATGGCAGATAGGGCCAAAAAAAAAAAAAAAAAAAAAATTATACTGCTAAACTGCCCTTCAAAAGGTTGTAATAATTTTCACCTCCATCAACAGAATATTAGAGTACTCTCTCTCCCATATTCTCGGCAACTTTTAGCAAAACTGACGTTAGATTCAAAAAATAAGGTAACATTGTTTTGATTGAATTCCCCTGATTTCTATTACGGTTAATCATCTTTTTATGTATTTATTGACTATCTGTACTTCTTAACTACTTATTCATAAATTTTGTCATTTTCTAAAGGACAGCGTGTCTTTTTCTTCTGAATCTTTAATAATTCTTTATAGTTGATGTTAATATTTTATTATACAAGCCATAATTTACTGCAAATACATCACTTATTTGTTATCTTTTACTACATAAACAATTTAAATATTTATTTAGTCAAATCTATCAAATTTTTTCTTTATATTCTTCAGGTTTTAACATTTTTAGATTTTATAATTCCCTAGATTTTACGTGGTATCTTGAAGTAAGACAAGTACAGACCTATGAGTTGCAGAAAGCATATTCTATCAATTCGCAAATGCTTTATGAATTAGAAAATATTTGAGGAGCTAGATGAGGCCGTAGGCTAAATATGAAAATACATAAAAGAGGAAGAGAAAAGTTGGATAAGGGGCAGGTAGTTTAACAGTCTAACAACTACTGATAGACAATAACGTTTTAAGCACTGAGAGGGAAAAGAAATAGAAGACACATTCACTCTTTCTGCCTTCCAGAAGTTTACAATTCAGGTGCAAGCAAAAATATTTTAAGTAACTTTTAAGCAGCAATGACTGAAGAAAAAAAATAGCCATGAGCTTCAAACCAATGAAGTCTATGGAGTTGACAGTATAATGGGAAAGAGAATTCTGATGGGTTTCAAAAGGGATGGTGAGCTTCAACTCCAACTCCAAAAAATTTTTAAATTTTCCCTGAAGTATAATAAACACAGGAAAAGTACTCCTATCATAAACAGCTCCATGAACTTTTGCAAAATAAACTCACCTGTATAACCAGCACTCAGCTCGAGAAAAAGCACATGACTAGCACTACAGAAGCCTTTCCCACTTCCTTCTAGTACTCCCCAAAAGCCCAGACTGGCTTTACCTATTTTTGCATTTTGTAAAAACGGGATGATATACAATGTATTTCTTTCTCTGAAAAACATGTTTGTGACACTCATTCAAACAACTACATGTAGCTGTCGAGTATCAGTTTCTATGTTGTGAATATGCTAATATATCCTTTATCCATTATACTGAAGATGGGTTGGTAGACTGTATAATTACTAGTTCTAGGCTCTTATAAAAACACTGTGATAAACATCCTAGAACATATCTTTTGGGGAACATGTTTTCATGTGTGCTGGGTATATACTAAAATTGTTGGATCATAGAACATACATACATTCAGCCTTAGTAAATATAACTAAATAGTTTTCCAGAGCAGCTGTAAAATTCCTTTAGCAGTGAACAAGAGTTCCAGTTTGCTGCATTTTTGTGAACATTGTTATTTTCCATCTTTTTCATTTTTAGCCATTCTGGTGATTATGTAACAAAATTATTATGGATTATATGAAACTTCAGATAATAGCACCTCTCACAACACAAGATTAAATAATGAGAAGTATGTAGCTTTTTAGAACAATACAGATACAAAAGGGTTTAAAAACTCATTTCATTAATAAAATGATAGGAAGAAGTAAACACTTATTAAAGAAGAAACCAAAAAAAGTGTTCAATCACAGAGACTCCAAATAGCCCTTAAAAGGGGGGAAAAAAGAAAAAAAGGCAGAAAGTAGGAAGCATGGTAAGTGACCAATGGTCTGGAAACTATAACCTACAGCTTGGTTTCTCTCATTAAATGTTATGGTCCAACCTTTTCTATAAACACAATAGCTATTTTATTTCAGGAGAATGAATATCAGTAAATTTTTAATTAAAAAATAATATAAAAATACATTTTGGCAAGAACTTAGAAAACAGCTTTTCTATGTGCCACAGTGTATATGATTTCCTATCTGTAGCATGTAAAATACATTTAAAAAAAAAAAACAAAAAAAACCTGTAGTGTATTTTGGATCCGGGCATATACTAATAATTAAAAAAAAAATACCAAGCATAATCTGTAATAATACTACCATACATCTGTCTAATAATTAACTCTTTTTTTTTTTTTTTTTTTTTGAGACGGAGTTTCGCTCTTCTTACCCAGGCTGGAGTGTGCAATGGCACGATCTCGGCTCACCGCAACCTCCGCCTCCTGGGTTCAGGCAATTCTCCTGCCTTAGCCTCCTGAGTAGCTGGGATTACAGGCACGCACCACCATGCCCAGCTAATTTTTTGTATTTTTAGTAGAGACGGGGTTTCACCATGTTGACCAGGATGGTCTCGATCTCTTGACCTCGTGATCCACCCACCTCGGCCTCCCAAAGTGCTGGGATTACAGGCTTGAGCCACCGTGCTCGGCTCTAATAATTAACTTTTTAAAAAAATCCCAGACTTTCACTCAAACTATTAAAAAACATCCTGGCAAAAAGGGAAAACAACAAATGACTTGTATTTTGCAAGTGACTAGGACTATGACCCGGCCTTAGCCATATGCTCCTGGAAAATGAGGAACATATCTTGTAATTTATCACAGCCCTTCTCTACAGGTTTAGAAGAGTAGTACTCTTCGCAGACAATTCAATAAAGCCTACTTGTCAACATGCTAGATCTGTAACTACTGATCAAACTCTTATACATGCTTCTCATTAAGCTGGTAAAAAGTGTTTAGATGTTTGTATATTTAATTCTGATAAACCTAGTTAAAAATGCTTAATCGTTTTAAATAAGAATTTGTAAATAGGCATAGAATTTAAAAAGTATATAAAGACAAACATTAGGAACTTCAAGAACAAAGTAGAGAGCTACAAACTATGTCCAAGATCATCTGTCAAATAGAGAAAATCTTTCTAAGTAAACTTTAAGCTTATTATTTCTCCAAAGTTCACTGGATGAGATTTACATACGATTTCTCCAACCAATGAACCACACTGCTAATCTATAACTGTTGACTCTTTAAAGACAGGTAAGTGATGACCCCCCCCCACCCACACACACACAGACACACACAGAACACGATTTCCTAGGAGTGAGTTTGATGTTTTTAAAGTTAAAATTTATAACCTGTATAAGTTATATCTTAGATATTTTATACTTACTAGAGTGAATAAAAGTTAATAAAACTTGTATATTTGTAGTTGATTATGCAATTTATGAACTCAGAATTCACTTAATTAATCAAAAGTTTTAAAGTATTAAGAAGTATAAAAATGACTGATGCATACGTAAGAGCTCTAAGAAACCATTAAGAATGCTAATAAAACACTGGAGGGAAAATAACCAGGAAACTGAAAGAAAACTTTTGATGGCAAGGAATTTTTCACCGAAAAGAATTGTTGAGAACAAAAAAAAGAGCTAATAAATGCTGACTATAAATAATCAACAAGTAGTCATCAATGTGGAAGTGTACAACACAATATGGTGCCACAATGGCAAATCTCTATTTAATTCCAGATAACTCCAAATTATTTTCTTAAATGATTATGATCAGATTTGCTGAGTACTGTATTTCAACAGAATGGCAATGCCACATTATAGGGAAATCACAGATAAATAAAATATGTTAACAGTATATGAGTAAGTACTAAGATTTTCTAGTCCAATGCATGTTATGTCAGGTACAACTAGTCACACTAAAAATAAAATGCTAAAAACTCACTCACTGTCTTCTGTGGGAAGGACCTGCAGGGAGTAAATCCACTCTATTATATCATCTTTGTTCACCACATCTAAGGAATCCAACATATCCAGCCCGGAGAGTGCAAAAAATGCAATTGTCAACCTAAAAGAAAAAAAATGTAAAATTCCATCTTAACTATCAAAACCACTTAAGTCTGAAGTCTTTCTCACCTAGAAAAATAATAAAATCATTCTACTTTTCTAATAATTTAAACAATACTCCCACTTTGCAAAAGCCAAAATAAAAAAAGTATTCTTATAACTTAATATTACCAGTCAAGCCTTTGTTTCAATTTCTCAAAAGGGACATTTAGGGGTTAAGAAACAAATCCTACCCACTTTATTTTCCCACAGACATGACCCACTGAAGCCAGAATATCAAGCAAACTGAAGGCTAGAAGTAGATTTGAAAAAGGATTCTCTACAACTAATCAGTACAAATAGCACAGGGATTTAAAATATATTAAAATGTCAATGTTCACTAATTTGTCAGGATCAATTATACTTGTAGCTGGCATTTAATTCTGGAGGAATGTGAGAATAATATCTTAATTCAAAGGTGTCAACAACATGACTCCTTGGGAAAATATAAGTTTTGAGAAATATGAAATATTAAAAAAACGCAAATGTACTTACACTTTATTTTCCCAGAAAGGAGTGTTCTTTGATAGAATGAAAAACTATAGAGCAAAATCTTCCCCCTCTAAGACTGTACACTATAAATCAGAAATCTAAACCTATGCTATCATATTAAAATCAGTAGCTTACCGATTGCTTTGAACATAAAGAATGTGTTATACAAAATTCCTTTTATGTTGAAAAGCAGTCTATAGTATAGCTTGATTGAGTAGTGTTAGATCATTTTCATATCTAACAATTCATATGACTAATAAATAATTCAAATTATCTGGTCTAAAATTTTACAGCAGAGCTACTTGATGTATTCTGTAACCTTTTCAATGAAGAGTCTAAGAAAGAATGAAGCCTTAATGCTCTGAGGTATCCACTGTCTGTAATAAATTTACTTACCTCCTGTGCCTCAAGAATAGTATTATCTAGACTAGTACTACAGTTTGAGTATGCCTTATCTGAAATGCTTGGAACCAGAACTGTTTCAGATTTCAGATTTTTTTGAATTTTAGAATATTTGCATATACAAAATGAGATAATATTCCACTGAGACAGGATGCAAGTCTAAATATGAAATTCATTTAAATTTCATATACATCTTATACACACATAAAGCTTATTTTATATAATACTTTAATAATTTTATACATGAAACAAAGTTTGCGTTAAGTACTTATATGTGGAATTTTTCACTTGTGGAGTCATGTCCAGTGCTCAAAAAGTTTCAGATTTTGGAGCCTCTCAGATTTTTGAATTAGGGATGTTCAACCTGTACCAACTTTAGGAGAAATGAGAAAACAGTGATTTCTTTTCTTTTCTTTTCTTTTTAGGGCGTAATTATCTCTGATCCCTGGTGGAAAAAGACTAGCATCCATTAGCTAACAGGAGGAGATATCAGAGAGTAATTTAATTCCAACCAAAGCTTAACGGCAAAAACTAAAACTAAAGAGATTTGGGTATATTTAAGAACAATAAATATTTGGGAAGCATATGATTGAGAGACTACTACCATGTATTAGACACTGAGCTGCGAAATTTCTCATATATTATTTCAATTTAATCCTAACAACACACTGAGATCTATCTGCCTTAGAGAGGTCATTTATCTAGGTAAGATCAGGATTATATATATTAAGGCTGTGGAACTCCTTTATGTGGGAAGCGGTGTTACATGGTAGTTTAAAGCTCAGACTCTGTAGTCAAATGAGCTGGGTTCAAATCAAAGTTGGCCAATTTCACTAGACTGACCACATGACTCTGGGCAGGATACCTAAACTTTTCTAATCAGCTTCCAATAATAACGTAAACCATTACTATATCTTATACAGCTATTGTGTTTACTTGTTCACACAAAGCACTCAATAAATGGAAGCCATTATCATTGGTGTTTGCCATGATGTAGAGGAACAGGAGTAACAACGACTTTAGGATCTAAACACTCTATAATGCTACAGACCTTTTCCATAGACTCTTGGTTTTAACGATTTTCCCCAGAGGAACATGCTTCTCCTAAACACAATGATACTTCAGACATGGGAAAAATCTCTCCATATGAGCAACAAAGTTTGGCAATCACTGCTCTTCTTGGTGGTAATTATGTCTCATGAGATAAGGTCCTCTTTGTTTGTATGCACTCAAATATTTACTGAACTAACTAATAAAAGGACCTGCAATATTAAATCTAACCCTTCTGGAGAGCTCTATCAGGGTTTTTCGTTCTAATGTAATACATAAAGTGGATGATTATCTTTATAGTTAGCTACAATTAAGCATCTACTAATGTGGTTTATTAAAACATTATCAAGGAAAAGAGCAAAAACAAGACAGCAACAAAAGTGGAGAAAAACATGAAGAACTTGAGGTTGGATAATGGATAAAACAATGATCTTTCTATCAGTAAAAGCTATGTAGTAAGAATTTATGCAAAAGGCTTTAAAAACAAGTTGGCATTTTTTCTAAATTCAGAAATTCAGAAATAATCTAGCCCATCTCTTTAATTTTCTAACTGAAGAAAATAAAGTCCAGGGCCGGGCGCAGTGGCTCAAGCCTGTAATCCCAGCACTTTGGGAGGCCAAGGTGGGCGGATCACAAGGTCACGAGATTGAGACCATCCTGGCCAACATGGTGAAACCCCGTCTCTACTAAAAATAAAAAAATTAGCTGGGCGTGCTGGCGTGCGCCTGTAGTCCCAGCTAGTTGGGAGGCTGAGGCGGAAGAATTGCTTGAACCCAGGAGGCGGAGGTTGCAGTGAGCTAACATTGTGCCACTGCAATCCAACCTGGCGCCTGGCGACAGAGTGAGACTCTGTCTCAAAAAAAAAAAAAAAAAAAAAAAAGAAAAGAAAAGAAAAGGAAGTCCAAAAAATTCAACTAATTTACTTGAGATTTCAACACTAGACAATCAAAACTACTCCAGAAGTCTAGGTCCCCTTGTGTTCTCCACAAGGGTGCTTCTCATACCTGGCTGCACATTAGAATCTGCTTAAAAACAAACAACGAAAACACCACCAACCTAACAGAGAGACCAAGGTCCTACTTCACAATCAAATCTATGTGTGTAAGGCAGAGGCTAGGCACTTTGGGTTTGTTTTTAACTTCCCAGGTAATTTTAATATGCAGGCAGTTTGAGAAACACTGTTCTAGAACAGTGGTTCTCCACTGAGAACACTGCCCCTAACCTAACACATCACAATCAAATGTTCTTAGTTGCCACAGTGGAGGAGGGAATTACTGGTATTGAGTGGGTAAAAGCCAGGGCTGCTGTTAAATATCCTACAATACACAGGACAGGCCCATACAACCAAGAATGATCTGGCCTAAAATGTCAGTAGCGCTGAGGTTGAGAAAACCTGCTCTAGAGTCATACTCTTATCTGTATATATTATTTAAATGATCTGTTGTCATGTTACTTGCTCCTGAATATGAATGCACTTTATTTATGTCTAAGTACTAAATACAAAAAATTAGCCATGTGATGGTATTTTAAAATCTTGCAAATTTAATTACTAAGGGTTCCTGAAATTCCAGCATTTTCAACTCATAGGTGAAGACCTAGATTGAGACTGTAAGGTTCATGAGTTATAGTGCGGCTTTTGTTTATAAAGTCAGGTCCCATCAGAAGTGCCTGGCAGATAGAACCAATATGTCACTTTGGGGCAAATGTCTGGCCTCCCTTTAAAATAGTCTGGGAAACCATTCCTCTTCCGATCACACCAGAATTATCAAGTAGTCCTAAAACTGAAAGAGAGATAATTAAAACAAGCCACAAAAAAACACACAAAGGAATTCTGGGCTGTGGGCCTCTCAGAGAAATAATATAATGTAGGGTTTTATGGTTCCTTGATGACTTCTACTAGGGAATAAACTGCTGGGCAGCCTGACTCAGCCCAAGTGTACGGAGGGGTAACTGTGCTAACATATAAACCTAAAATCAAGCCAGTGGAGTATTTTTACTTTATTACTTCTTTCAGAGAATATTTGTTTATTCTCTTTCTTCTTTTCCCTAGAACTCAATCTGAGTCTCCAGCCTGAGAAGTGGACATAAACAAGCAATATCTTTCTGTTCACCCACTCTGAACAATATGCTTAAGAAGTCTGTCTTACAAGGATGAAAAAGTAACAACCCCAAACCCCAATCAAGTTGCTTTACCAAAGAATCAATTCACAGCCAAGAGGGTTAACTTAAGTGTCTCCAAAAGATGTCAAATATTCCAGGCTTAAGAACACACATACCCCAAAGATTAAATAAGAACAACAAGGTCAGGGGTGGTGACTCACGCCTGTATCCCAGCACTTTGGGAGGCTGAGGCGGGTGGATCACCTGAGGTTGGGAGTTCAAGACCAGCCTGACAGAGATGGATAAACCCCGCCTCTATTAAAAACACAAAATTAGCTGGGTACGGTGGCACATGTCCTGATCCCAGCTACTTAGGAGGCTGAGACAGGAGAATCACTTGAATCCAGGAGGCAGAGGTTGCAGTATGCGGAGATCCCACCATTTCATTACAACCTGGGCAACAACAGCAAAACTCTGTCTCAAACAACAACAACAACAACAAAATGAAAAACAGTCTATAGTTTGAACACTGGAAAACCAACTTAGTCATACTGACATAATACAAATACTGTTAGGCTAGAGTAGTGAGTGACAATTTGGAAATATATTGGAAACTAATTTATAAGAATCGACTAGATTCCAAAACTTTGGATCCCTTGCCCTGACCATTTCTGGTGCAACCCCACCCTTTACTGGCCTTTCCAAGTGTCTTCAACAATAGACTACATGTCTGCCTAGATACCAGATGGGCCTATGGCTACATCATATTGCAGAGTTCTAAAATTATAAACAAGCAGCTACATTAAGAAATAAGAACACAAATAAAATTGATAACCATGTCAGTGAAGAGAGAGCCTTACAGGATACATTAGAATTAATCATGAAATTAAAACACTAGCACATAGATGCTGCCATAATACTTGGAAACAAATGACTGAACGACTGCATGGATTCTGGAATTTTAAGCATTATTCTTCATTTATAATTATTTTTCAATGGCTGATTCATCTGGTAAATACTTTTAAGTACAGGCACACATCTGTGGAATTATTTAACTTGTAAAATAGTTTTTCTACTATCCTAATTTTTCAATAAGAAACATCTACTGAACACCTACTACAGATTAGATGTCATGACAAAAATAAATAAAGCTTCCTAACCTTAAGGAGGTTACATGTTACGTGCTATTATAGAAGTCATCATCCTCCTTTCTAAATTGGCTCCTTTTGCCTCTTATTCTCCAGATGGGATGTTGCTCCAATTTAGGAATCCTGGGACGATACCTCCTTCTTCATCCCCTCTTTTCTAGCTCTACTTCCACTGCCTCAGCATCTCTCTCCTGGACTACCATATTAGTGCCCTCACTGGTCTCCCTAGTTCTGGTCCTGTATCACGTGATGTATGACTATTGACTATTCCTGTCACTTACATGATATCTAACTCAAGTTTTTAGACAAGCACACAAAGCTTTCCATGATCTGATGCATGCCTACCTCTTCAGACTACATTCCTGCTACATCCCTTTACATTTGAACCACAGAGAACTCAGTGAAGTTTTCTGCTCAACACTCACTTCTCCAGCTTTATTCTTCCTATTTTCCATTTGCAACAACAACAAAAAACACTGGAACATATTCTTTAAGACTTAGTTTCAGGGTTACTTTTTCTAAGAAGCCTTCTCTAGGTCCCTGTCTCTCTTTAGGTTGAGCTACTTAGGTATTTCCAGAATGCCCTCAGAATATCACAATCATTTTGTGTAGTCAGGGCATTAAACACAGCAGAATCATCTGGGAACTTGTCAGAAATGCAGCATCTCAGTCTCACACTCAATATCCCACTCCTCAGCTACTGCAATATACTTTAACAGGCTGCTTCACAGAATACTGCACGTCTTTGGCCTACCATTAGACTTATAGCTCCCATAAAGTAAGTATCTAAGACCTCAGGTTCTCTGCTACTCCTACACATTAAACACCATACACTCAATTAAGAGTTAATGACTTTACAGAGGACAGGGATACATAGGAATATTCATCTAAACATACAACAACCCAGGCTTATGCAATCAAAATCTGCATTTTAACAAGATCCCCAAGTGATTTACATGCACGTTAGATTGGGGATCACTGTTGTAAAAACCGCATCTGTTTCTCCTGTAAGGCAAACAGTCTCTAACTTTAGCCTGCATTGGAACCACCTGAGATGCATAAGGCAGACTCCCAGGGCCCACACAGAATCCAATGAAGGTCTGGGAAGGGGCATTTTTATAAGCAGACAGAAATCATTACTTAGAGCAGGCATCCCCAAACTACGGCCCTTGGGCCGCATGCGGCCCCCTGAGGCCATTTATCCAGCCCCCTGCCGCACTTCAGGAAGGGGCACCTCTTTCATTGGTGGTCAGTGAGAGGAGCACAGTATGTGGTGGCCCTCCAACAGTCTGAGGCACAGTGAACTGGCCCCCTGCGTAAAAAGTTTGGGGACGCCTGACTTGGAGCCTCCCACCACGACACTTTGAAAGATGTACTGCTAGACTGTGATATACTTAACATAAGGGAGGAAATAAAGAACAAAGTAGTTGCAGAATGGGAGGCAGCAGAGAGGTTACAACATAGGATACATAGGGAAAATAGAGGGACATGAGAATACAAAGGCTAGTTAGATTGTAAATGCCGTGTGAAATAAAAGCTAATTGCCTAAACCTTTCTTCTAGGACAGCTGGATCTGCAAAATAACAGAATATTGTCATACTTTGTTACTTAATAAAAAGGACTACTCTAATTCCTATTACCCAAATACAAATGGTACAATAACTCATAACCACACAAAACTTCCTAAACTACTTATAAAAGAAGTCTGGTAACTGATAAAGCTTCCAATCCAAGATTTAATATTTGCTTGAATTATAAACTAGTAACTATCATTTTAAGAAGTTAATATAAAAGAAAAATCTCTCATGAAACAGTAGAAAATACACTTTATTTTCATAAAGTCACTGTTACTAGAAAAGTAAAAATTATTCCTATTAGGCTAAAAGAAATAGTGATATAGAGTAACTTTGTCAAAATGGTGAGTCAGAAAATAAGTGTCTAAATATCCAGTCTAATATTAGCCTTCTCAAAGGTCAGCCTTTTCATACCTACTGGTTTAAAAAAAAAAAAAAAAAACAGAGGAACACCTGAATCATTGGTTTAACACTGTTTCCCTGTAGTTAGATGAATGGGGAGGCACTCTATAAATGACTGTGGAATTTAAGTGCAATTCCTCAGAATTGTGGCTTGCCCAATGTATTGCTTTTCTTACAAGTCAGCAGAAACTTTGTGACCAGTCACCTTTGCTGAAAAGGTTGGGCTTCTTCATAAGCATCTTAAAGTCAGTATTGAATCACATGCACCACCAAAGAACTTAGTGCTAAACTAAAGAAAATACTGTGAGTCAGGAAAGAGAAAAACTTAAAATCACTACAGAAACTGATACATGCAGTTATCCTAAATGCAGTTATTAAGTGAGCTCTACGAAAACCAAAATGACATAAAAATTATATTCATGTGATGAGCACTAGACATAAAGGGATATAATATTGCTTAACCAATGCACCAAGGTGTTATACAGCTATTATCTAATATATGACACCTGGTGTCAATCCTATGCTTATATTAAAGTTATTAAATCAATTGTTAAATGAGTTAAGTCAGAAAATGTGTGCTGTTTAACTTATGCTGTGAGCAGAATTACACAGTTTAATGCTAATGTGTATTATTCTATAGGGATTTGTCCAAGCTGGAATTTTATATAACAGGCCAAACACATTGGCATTTTGAAAATGCAATCACAGACTTACAGTGATAGCTGCAAGCAAAGTTCAACTGCATAACAACCACAATTTAACAACAGGACTTATACACTGAATGCATCAAAACAGCAAATGTACACCACAAATATGCATACTATGTATCAGTAAGAAAAATACGATGGAAGACTTTTTATCCAAATGCTTCGAAGTCACATAAAATTAATCCCCATTAAGATATCAATGATTTATCAACATTTTAAAACATAGCACTACAATCATAATCTTTCGGTTTGGAAATCTTTCTTTCTTAAGAATCTGTTCATCCTTCAGGACTCGGCTCACATTATTCAACAAATATTTCTTAGCGCTTCTCATATACCAGGTACTATTTAAGGTCCTAGTGCAATGCTGACCAAAAGGACTAAGATGTTGCAAATGTTGAAACAGAAAAAATTGCCACTGGCCAATATGGCAACTGAGCACTGGAAATGTGGTGGCAAATGTAAACAGAATAACTTAATTTTTAATTTGAATTAATTCAAATCGAAATAGCCAAATGTGGGTAGTGGCTATCAGATTGAACAGGGCAGCCCAGTCCTAAGTATACAGTTAAACAAGATAGACAAAAACCTTACCTTTGTGAAGTTTATCATTCAGTGTAAGAGAAAGACATTAAACAAATAAACCAATAAATATGTAATGTAAGGTAGTATTTGAAAGTGGTCCCTTTGGGAAGAGTGTTTAAGGAAGGCTTCTCTAAAGAAATGTGGATTACGTACATGCCTGTCTATATACTCCTATGAACCCTACACTAACATATAGCACAGAACTCTATACAAATGCTTTTCTTGTTCAGCAGTACTCGAGCACCTACCATAATATAGTTCTTGACCAAGTGTGCAGAAGTAATCTACAAAGCTCCCCAAACTGATCCAGTCATGTAGTGTTCAAAATACACCAGCCACTCAGAATTTAGAAAACATGGAAAGAGAACACAGCAAAAACAATCTGCTCTTTCCTCCTCTCCAGTCTCATACAGCTTTTGAGCCTCACTTCAAAACACAGCAATGCGGAGCAAAGATCTCCTTTCTTTCTTCTCATCCCAGCTTTTACTGTGAACGAAGTCGCTTAGCCTCTGCTGCATCACACTCCTCAGCTATTGCAATACATTTGTAACAGGCTGCTTCACGCAACACCGCATCTCTTTCGCCTACCATTAGATTATAGTTCCCGTAAAGCAAGTTTCTAAGACCTTAGAGTTTCTCTGCCGCTCCTCCACATAAAACACCATACAGACACTCAATTAAGAGTTAATGATCTTTACAGAGGATAGGGATGCACAGGAGAGCACTCATCTAAAAACACGACAAACTTTGTCCTTTTCCTTTTACATTCGGAAGTAACGAGGCAAAGTGACAGGCTCTAGAAGAGGGAGTAAAAAAGCAGCTCAGAGTTGCCAGAAAAACCGCGAAGTGAAAAAGGCGGAAAACTGGAGATTCCACAGCCCTCGACGTACAGTCTTCCAGACCTTCCAACCGTACCTCAGGGGGAGTAAGGGTGACCTCAAGCCCGCTTGGAATCAGTCAGTGCCGGGTGGGCGGCGGCGCAGCCCCCTTCCAGCGCCCAGTTTGCGGTCCGACTCCGCCGCGCCTTTCCGCTGGGGCCCGGGCCTTGTGCCAACCTGGCTGACTGTGGCCACGAGTTACCTGCTTGTCTCGAGTGAAGAATAGCGCTCCGGCAAAACCTGGAGGCAGCGCTGGAAAAACCGCACGTGCCGATCCCGCAAGAAATCCAGCCGCTCTCCGTCACCGCTCCCCACTAGCTTCTCGTCCTCAGTGGCCGCCATGCTGCTCCGGAAGCGACGTCCGCCGCAACCCGGAAACAGTCGGCGCGCGCAGAGAAACCACCTTCCTATGCTGACCCGGAGTTCCCGGGTGCGGGCACCTGCGCTCGCCGCAGAGCAAGCCAGTAGTTTGAAACCGCTGTCATCTGGGTCTTGTGCAACACTTCCACTCCCCGGTATCTCCCTAGCTAGCTCATGACCCAACCTTTTCTACTCAAAGCCCTCGAGGCTTGCTAATACCTCGCAGGCCTTGTGAAAATCCAGTCCACAAATCCCTCCGTCAGAATTTTTATCTTGGGAAGCGCAAGGTCAGAAGCATCAAGTTCGCTTTGAGACAATTCTGGCTCTGTAGAACGTGAGAACGGTATATCTGAAAACGGGGATGGATCAGTATAAACTTGCTAACATTCATTTTTGGAGGGCCAGTTTTAAGCTGAATGGTTAGGAAAACTAAACAAAAAGCAAAAACAAAACAGTGGAAGTGTTTATTGACACTACGAAAGTTCAGAGACTTTCCTAATCCTCTCTGGATACCAGGAATCAATTATAAGTATGTGTATAATGCCACACACACATACAACAGGTGTATTGATACCTATGTGTGACTGCTTGCCTCATTCTTTTATCATGAGTAGACGTGTTATCAAGAATCAATGGTGCATTAATCTGCAACAGCAAAATAAGATCAATATCTTCTGCAATTACCTGCATACTAAAAAAATTAAACATGCTTCTAGTTTTTTGTTTTCTAAAAATAGGGATTTAAGTTGCTTTAGCCGTTACACTGTGCCTTATTTATTTATTTATTTTAATTTATTTTTTTTAAGACGGGGTTTCACCATATTGGTCAGGCTCGTCTTGAACTCCCAACCTCAGGTGATCCCCCCGCCTTGGCCTCCAAAGTGTCTGGATTACAGGCGTGAGCCACCACGTCCGGCCACTGTGTCTTTTAAACTTTCCTGAGGCATTCCTGGGTAGCCGGGGTGGGGGTGGGGTGGAATCCACCCAATAATAGAACTAAACTAGATTCCCTGTAATCAATTTAGCTAATAGAATTTTTAGTATAATTTTGTTAGCTTTCCTAGAAAATGTAATTTTTTTTTTTTTTTTTTTTTAAGACGGAGTCTCGCTCTGTCACCAGGCTGGAGGGCAGTGCTGTGATCACAGCTCACTGCAACCTCCGCCTCCCGAGTTCAAGCGATTCTCCTACCTCAGCCTCCCCAGTAGCTGGGACTACAGGCGCCCACCACCAGGCCTGGCTTATTTTGTATTTTTAGTAGAGACGGCGGTTTCACCATGCTGGCCAGGATGGTCTCGTCTCTTGACCTTGTGATCCACACGCCTAAACTTCCCAAAGTGCTGGGATTACAGGCGTGAGCCACCACGCCTGGCCAGAAAATGTATTTCTTAAAAAAAAAAAAAAAAAAAACAGAAAACAGTTCTTTTTTTTTCTTTTCTTTTCTTTTTTTTTTTTTTTGTGAGACAGAGTTTCACTCTTGTTACCCAGGCTAGAGTGCAATGGCGCGATCTCGGCTCACCGCAACCTCCGCCCCCTGGGTTCAGGCAATTCTCCTGCCTCAGCCTCCTGAGTAGCTGGGATTACAGGCACGCGCCACCATGCCCAGCTAATTTTTTGTATTTTTAGTAGAGACGGGGTTTCACCATGTTGACCAGGATGGTCTCGATCTCTTGACCTCGTGATCCGCCCGCCTCGGCCTCCCAAAGTGCTGGAATTACAGGCTTGAGCCACCGCGCCCGGCCCAGAAAACAGTTCTATGGGCTGGGTAATCTTACACTTATTCAACAATCCGAAGTGCTCTGAATACTTTTTGGTACTAGTAACTACCTAGTATTCCTGCATGTCTTTACAGCCCGAGATGGATACTAGGCTGTCCTGGGTACTTCCCTACAAATATGGAGCTTACAGTCCTTGGCCTTTCAGGTGTGCCCAGTCTGGAGTTTTAACTATTATTACAATTAAGATCTCACACTTAACACACATACCCCTAAATGCCTGAAGATGTTCAAAGTGGAGTCTTATACACGTTTAACTTACTGGAATCAGCTATGGATACTTTATACATTCTCAGAAAATTAATTCTAATAAACATGACCCTTAAGTTAGGGAAGCCAAATATTTCATCTGATTCTCAGCTCAAGGACTAGTAATCTGACCCAAATCTGGAGGAAAAATTTGCTACGTGGGACTCATTGAGAGATAATATAGTATGACTCCTAGGTCATTAAAAGGCTTTCCATGAGTGATTTTAGCCATACAAGATTTTTGGCATATGCATAACAAAATGGGAATAGTAGAACATACATATAATTGAATATTATTTAGCTATTACACGATGTTTGAGTTACGTAGAAACATAGGAAAATATGTGTAATGCAATTATCGCATAGTAATTAATGTACTATATGACTAATAATTTTAAAATATGTAGGTATGTTTTTTTGAAAAAGTTACCCTGGAATTATGAGTACTTTATATATTTCTTTTCTTTTTTTTTTTTTTTGAGATGGAGTTTCGCTCTTGTTACCCAGGCTGGAGTGCAATGGTGCGATCTCGGCTCACCGCAACCTCCGCCTCCTGGGTTCAAGCAATTCTCCTGCCTCAGCCTCCCTAGTAGCTGGGACTACAGGCTTGCGCCACCATGCCCAGCTGATTTTTGTATTTTTAGTAGAGATGGGGTTTCACCATGTTGACCAGGATGGTCTCGATCTCTCGACCTCGTGATCCACCCGCCTCGGCCTCCCAAAGTGCTGGGATTACAGGCTTGAGCCACCGCGCCCGGCCTATATTTCTTATTAATGTACTTTTTTTCCCCCCAGGCTTACTCCACTTTATTTTTCTTGTATAAAAACTCTATATTGTAGACACTGCCTGAGCCTGGGTCCTCTGCACAGAGACTATGGTGTGGGTCTTGAGCAGGCGGTCAGTGAATTCCTGATAGGGAGACTTAGTGAATACAGTCTCCTTCCAGAGGTCAGGGGTCAGGTTGCTACAGACCTTAGAGATGGCATCAAAGGTGACCTTAGTGAGTTGCCCTGGATGTCAGTGCAGCCCCTGGCTGAGGTGTAGCAGTCACCAATACTAGCCATCATCAGCATCTTCTTGGCCATGGGGGCCAAGAGGATGCCAGTGCTCCTGGGCAAGATGCACCAGCACAGAACGCTGGCAGCCTGTCACCTTGCAAGAGATGGTGGATGGTGTGGGGCTTGCCAACCTTGTTCCCCGAGTAGCTTCTGTGCATGGGGACAATGGAGAGGGTGGCCAAGATGATGGCCCTGTGAATGGCAGTGGCCACCTCCTTGGAGCACTCAACACCTAGCCCAGTGTGGCCATTGTAGTCCCGGATGGCAACAAACACCTTGAACCTTGTGTGCTGGCTGGTCCGTCCACTTCTGCACTGGCATGTCTTCAAAACCTCGTCCTAGAGAAAGGTCTCCAGGAAAAAGTCAATAATCTTAGTCTCCTTGATGGGTAGGGAGAAGAGACAGATCTCCTTCAGGGACTTAATCTTCATGTCCTTGATCAGGCGGCCCAGCTTGGTGACAGACATCCACTCCTGTCCTCGGCCTTACCTCCATGAGCTCCATGAACCTGCCCCAGACACGGCCACTGCTGCAACCCCAGTTCCCCATCTCAGGGCCCCCCAGGGCCTCCAGGCCTCCCAGGCCCCCCACCGCACTGGCGCCATCTGCCATTTGGTGTTTTCTTGAGAAGAAGCTAATGTACTTTTTAAACCAATATAAGAAATGTTTTTTTTTTTCTTTTTTTTTTGAGACGGAGTTTCACTCATGTTGCCCAGACTGGAGTGCAATGGCGCCATCTCGGCTCACCGCAACCTCCGCCTCCTGGGTTCAGGCAATTCTCCTGCCTCAGCCTCCTGAGTAGCTGGGATTACAGGCACGCGCCACCATGCCCAGCTAATTTTTTGTATTTTTAGTAGAGACGGGGTTTCACCATGTTGACCAGGATGGTCTCGATCTCTCGACCTCGTGATCCACCCACCTCGGCCTCCCAAAGTGCTGGGATTACAGGCTTGAGCCACCGTGCCCGGCCTAAGAAATGTTTATTTGACATCTTGTCTATGAACCTGTAATGTCTATGAACTCTGCAACTGAAGACACTATCAATTGTGTTTATCTGACATCCTTTATATACAGGATCCATATAATAAATTCATCATTTATTTCAGATTCAGCTAGAAAGACTGATTTCTTCAGAGGAATTTCCATACTTTTATTTAAAAGAAAAAAACAAAAAACACCAAAACCATAAGAATCACATCGTCCAGAATGCTTACCTTAGACACAGGAATTTGAAAGCTGCATTTGCGTGCAACAAAAAGCAAAACGTAAAAAAGCAACAAGTAAAAAACATTTTCTGTATCTTGTAGTTTCTCAGTTCTGCTTTTAAATTCCCTCATCTTGGTCTATATCTTATTTATTTATTTTTTTGAGATGGAGTCTCACTCTGTGGCCTAGGCTGGAGTGCAGTGGTGCAGTCTCAGCTCGCTGCAACTTCCACCTCCCAGGTTCAAGCAATTCTGCCTCAGCCTCCTGAATAGCTTGGATTACAAGTGTACCACACCGGGCTAATTTTTGTACTTTTAGTAGAGATGGGTTTCACCATGTTGGCCAAGATGGTCTCAGACTCCTGACCTCAAGTGACGCACCTGCCTTGGCCTCCCAAAGTGCTGGCATTACAGGCTGAGCCACCGCAAGCGGCCTCTTTATTTCTAAACTACTTCAAAACATTATAAAAAAAGTTTTGGAAAACAAGTAAGAAATAAAACCAGCACTCCTGTTTAAGGATCTTTTATGTGAATTTTCCCATTTGGCACCAATAATTATATAAATCAGAATTCAGTTTCTAAAAATTGAAAGCCGTCTACTCTATTAACTGTAAAATAAGAAAAGATTTTGACTGCTACTTATAGTACATTTCTGAGTCATTTAACCTAAATGTATCACATTAACAATAAAGATAATCTAAGATAAAAATTATAAGAAATAAATT